TTCCATAGTTCAATACGATATGTTTGTCTAAAATTATTCCTTTAGTGTACGTAGGGGACCAGTATTGTATGCGTTATAAACATCATTTATCAGTGAGAGTTTTTCCCTCATTCTACTTAAATGCTGGTTAAACCAGGAAATTGATTTTTGATTTTTGATAAAATGTTTACGCTCGACTGGTAAACAATTATCAAATTCTTGTAGAATTATATTAAAAAATGTATTAAACCAAACATCGCTGGGGCAGAGCTGGGCAGTATTCGATTTTGTAAATACTTTTTAGTAATCAAATCCTTTAAAGTATTCAAATACTTTGTAATTAAATGCTTTTATGGAAGCAGTATTTGTATTTGTAACTCAAATACTTTCACAAATATTTAGTATTCGAATACTTCGCAAAGTATTTGGATACTTCGTAAAGTATTCGAATACTTTGCAAGGTTGCTTAACCTTCCTTTTTTGCCAAAAATCGACTGCATCAAAATTTCTCGGGAAAACACTTTTTCTTATTAATTTTGGTGCATAGAATCCAAAACAATTCGTACTTTTTCGATCAGACTTCTCAATCAAAAGTTATAGACTAGAAACCAATTTCGAAAGAAAAATCAAAGGGCTGTAACTTTTGAACTAGTAGCCCAATCTTGGAACTGTTTGAAATTATGGATTCTACAGGCCACATTCTATAAGAAAATTTTTTTTCCGGGTCGTTCTGAGACAATTTTTTTTTCGGGCCTCAAAAAAGGCAGTGTATAACCTTCCTTTTTTACCAAAAATCGACTACACCAAAATTTCTCGGGAAAACACTTTTTCTTATTAATTTTGGGGCGTAGAATCCAAAACAATTCGTACGTTTTCGATTAGACCTCTCAATAAAAAGTTATGGACAAAAAACAAATTTCGGAAAAAAATTCAAAGGGCTGTAACTTCTGAACTAGTAGCCCAATCTTCAAACTGTTTGAAATTATGGATTCTACAGGCCACATTCTATAAGAAAATGTTTTTTTCCGGTCGTTCTGAGACAATTTTTTTTCGGGGCCTCAAAAAAAGGCAGTGTATACCTTCCTTTTTTACCAAAAATCGACTGCACCAAAATTTCTCGGGAAAACACTTTTTCTTATTAATTTTGGTGCGTAGAATCCAAAACAATTCGTACTTTTTCGATTAGACTTCTCAATCAAAAGTGATGGACAAAAAACAAATTTCGAAAAAAAATTCAAAGGGCTGTAACTTTTGATCTAGTAGCCCAATCTTCAAACTGTTTGAAATTATGAATTCTACTGGCCAAATTCTATAAGAAAATGTTTTTTCCCGGTCGATCTCAGACAATTTTTTTTTCCGGCCTCAAAAAAAGGCAGTACTTTTAAGTTATTCAAATATTTGAGAACAATTTAGAAATGTTTAGGGAAAGTTTCCATTGTCACAAAATCAAATATAAAAATCCGATACAACTGAATACCGAACGATCCTGGAGTGAAACTTTTTGACTCGATAGTCCACGTAACTTAAAAACAATAGGGACCTTTCTTATATCCTTAAGACCATTGTGTACCAATTTTCAAAGCGATCGCACGTTTCTAAACCAACTATCATGCACACGGACAAACGGATGGTCAAAAAAGGATCTGTTCCAAAATCGCTAGGATTAATTTCAGAAAGGCGTACGTATCATGTGCACACGACGCTTTGAAAACTGGTACACGTATTCTTAAGGATATAACTGGTATAAGAAAGGTCCTGGTAGGTACCTCCTATATAATAATATAATAATAATAATACGCTTTTACTCCCCTTAAATTTGTATATAACAATAGAAGTATAAAAAAAGCTAACCCCATACAAAGTATAACTAGATTTTTTAAGTAGTATTGCCTTTTATCTAGTATACTATTTTAAATTTTTAATGTATTTGAGTGACAAGTATTTGAATACTTTTTATAGTATTCGAATGTTAAAGTATTTGAATACTTATTTTTTTAAGTATTTGAATACTTTTCAATGTATCTGTATCTAGTATTCGCTTGTGCTGGACGTAAAAGTATTTAGTATTCAAATACCTTTGATTTGTGTAAAATATTTACTATTTAGTATTCAAATACTTTTTGTAAGTATTCTGCCCAGCTCTGGCTGGGGCTACTAGAATCTTTTAAAAAGTTCCAGCTTTTGTGTTGCTCAAACATTGGTACAACAAAAATTTTCACTTTTGGGTAAAGGGTCTACATTTGGCGTAAATTTTTTCTTTATTTGTAATCTGAACCTCCAACTATCATCCATTTCTTCTTCAAATTTATTGACAATAACAGTTTATTGATCGTTTGAATAAAACAATTATGATTGCCTGCAGGAGACCTATATACTCAAATTATTGCCAAATTCAGAGAGTCTATCTCAACGCCCCACAGTTCGCACTGTTTTTCTATTGGCAAGCTTTTTAAAATGTGTATTGGTTTAAAAGAAATTTGGTTTTTTAAAAGGATCATCGTTCCTCCGTGTCTGAAGGATGTTCTGCAAAAATAATCTGCAACGTAGAAGTTATTAAGAACAAAAGACTTAATCTCTAATTCATTTAGCCAATGTTCGCTCAAACAGATCGCATGATATTCTTTTTTAGAATCTAATAAAAGAGCGTCTAATTCATTTACGAGTACCTTGCTTTTTGACACTTTGAATATTGGTGTAAAAAACATTAAATTTTATTTAGTTTTTACTGTTTAGATCTGGAAAATTTGACCGGCTGCGTAACTGCTACACAATTGAAGATCTTCATAGTCTTTTTGAAGTTTAGCCCGTTATTTCGGTTGTCGTTCGCGGAAGAAAAAACCGAGTTATAATATAATATAATATAATAACTTATACCTTAGTGTAAAGAATAGATTACACTATGCTTATACGTACTAACACTACATACAGGGTGGCCATTTGAAAACGAAACAGAGCCTATTTTGGGAACTTCAAAACATTTACGAAAAAATCCTCGGACCCGTCAATTTTTGATTCAAAGGGGAACAATTTTTTTGCTAGTTTCTTCCCCCTAAGGACAAAGCCCTAGCGGGGGTCACGACCGCCCCCAAAATTTTAAATCGAATGGGGGGTCGAGTGATACCTTATTTTGAAGGTATTTTTATGTGGATTATACTCTTTAAGTTTTAAATCGCTACTAATTTGCCTAGCCGATACAGGGGCTAATAAAAGTTAAAAACGTGTCAACATTTTCTTATGAAAAAAAAATGCTTGTAAATTAATTAGTAAGTTAAATAACAACAATTAATACAACAATAAATACAAAAAATGTTGTTATTCTACATTCTGAACTGTACTTTTTGTTGTTGTTTTTTTTCTTTTTAATACCTGTAGGTGGCTATGACGAATGTTCCTTTTTCCTAAACGGTACTGTGAATCGTCACAACTGTCGCTATTGGGCTGATTCAAATCCCAGAATATTTCGTGAGGTGCATACACATACACAACGTCCCGAAAAATTGAATGTTTGGGCTGGCATTTTTTGTAACCATATCGTAGGCCCCTTCTTTTTACCTGGCAATCTAACAGGAGAGATGTACCTGCAGTTATTAGAAAATACGATTCATCCAGCATTAGTGGAGATACTAGAAAATAAGGAGTACTTGGAAAATCGTCTAGTATTTTAGCAAGATGGTGCGCCCCCCACTATGCTGCAAGGGTTCGTCAATATTTAGACCAAACGTTTCCAGGACAATGGATTGGAAGAAGAGGAGCTATTGAATGGCCTCCTTGTCCCCCGGACTTTGCGTTAGATTTTTTTATGGGGACATTTAAAAATTAAAATTTATGCTGGTCAGCCAACATCGCTAGAGAAGTTGCGACAAAGAATAATTGATGAATGTCGTCAAATCACCCCAGAAGTTTTGCAAAATGTACGGGAAAGGTTTGAACAAAACCTGTATTATTGTATGGAAGTCGAAGGCCAACATTTTCAACATTTACTTGATTGATTTTAGCTTTAAGCACTTAAAATAAAAATTGATTAAAATCTTAAGAGTTATAATCTACATAAAAATACCTTCAAAATAAGGTATCACTCGACCCCCCATTCGATTTAAAATTTTGGGGGCACTTGTCACCCCCGCTATGGTTTTGCTCCTAGGGGGGCGAAACTAGCAAAAAAGTGGTTCCCCCTTGGATGAAAAATTGACGGGTCCGAGGATTTTTTCGTAAATGTTTTGAGGTTCCCAAAATAGGCTTTGTTTCGTTTTCAAATGGCCACCCTGTATAACCAGACCATCTAAATTGCCTTAGCGCAAGCCCGTAGCCAGAATGAAGTAGCAGGGGTGGCCGGTATTTTTCTAGGGGGGCTTGTTTTTGATACAAACTTCTGCTGTAATTTTTGTAAAGGTACTTTCAACCATAATTAAAGGCACTTTTCTGGATTTTAAAATGATATCACGTGACGGGTGAAGGCATATTATCATTTTGGAATGGGGGTAACTGGAGTAAATTGTAAACCTTCCATTAAAATCCATAAAAATGTTTCATACATAATGTAAATTTTTCAAAAACTGAACAAAAAGGGCAAAAAAATCGTAATCAGTTTGAATTTCACTCAAATCTGTACTCTTGTGATTATGATCACCACTTATACCTACATATTGTCACAGACAACATATACTATGTTGTCTGTGATATTGTGTACAGGGTATCAGAATTAGCCATTTATTTAAATAATTATTGCTATTTAAATAAAATGATTGTCATACAACAACCACACCGGCGTATTTTGACGGGCGGGGTTGGGGATCAAAGTATTGAAAACAAAGGACTAGGATTGCTCAGTTGTGGGGTCCAGTGTTAATTTTTCATTTTTCAGTTTGATTCTAAAACACGCTTTATTAGTTGTTCTAGCTGGTACAATACAAGTTTTACGTATTTTAAGCGTTTTTTCAGTACTTCGACCAGATCTGCCGCTTTACTTGATAGTCTACTGTCCTCGCTACTGTCTATGCATGCATTAAATTAATGCAAAACAATAGTCTATAAAAGTTTATTGATAAATGTAATGAATTGCATAGCAAATACATATGGAATACGAAATGAGTACATCATATTTCTACAAAAATTTTATACAAATGCATCCTTATAAAACCCACTGCTTAAAAATTATAATAATCCATTACACACACGGCTCAACATAATTCCCGGGGAATAATCCAGTTATACCATCCATAACACCTTCCCACCAACCATCATCGTTCTTTTTTAAAACATAAATAACCGAACTCTCTTGAAAGCTCAGTTCATCATCCTTATCCGCGTAGTAATCATAAATTGCGACAACTAGAATTCAAGGTTTAGGCTTTGCATGGAAGAAGAAGACAAACCTTTCTCGATGTAATTCTTGGGAACCCACCCCGGCAAATCCTCCTCATCCGGCACGATCGGCATAACACCAGACGCGCGAGGTCGTCCGAATGCTTCGTGCTCGTCTTCCGGTGGGGGTGGAGGCGGTAAGGGAGGCGACTGCGCACCGCTGCTTCGGGATAAACGTTGATGGTGGGAGAGCGTGTTCATGCCAACACCTCCCTGTGGAAGTGGTGCGTGATGAGGCAAAGTGATAGACTGTCGCATGTCTAAATCTGGCAATGTCATTTCTTGAGTCACAAGTGGAGATGGTGGAGCTAAAATTGCACTTTACAGTCGGCTTAATTTGGCAAATGGTGAGTAATTTACGTGGCATAGACATGTGATGATCCGAAACGTAAGAAACAACCGTTGGAGGTGGAGGCGGGGGTGGTGTTTGTGGGTGCTGTTGTAGCGCTTGCTGGGAGTTTAAGGGGTGTACCATACCTACTTGAGGAGGCGACATTGGCTGGTGTTGATTAGGGGCCATTGGCAAAGTGCTGTAGCCTGGACCCCGCTCACTCGACCTTCGAGGGTGCCCAATGGGGTAATTGGGAGCATAATGGCTCGGAACTTGTGGTGGGGCAACGGCTGGAGGTGTGCGATACTCCCTGGAACCTTAATAAAAACATAAAAGCCGACCTCAACTCGCATTAACATCCACCTTTACTTAGTGTTCCCCCCGAAACAGACACCTTGCTGTTTGTACGTGAAACCTGAGGAGGGGTGGGTGGTTTGGTGGTAGGCGGCGGGCCTACTGAATTACCCACAATGTTTTGCATTGCGGCAATACCGATCATCGACTGAATGCTACCTTGACTAGAACCTCGCTGTTTTAGTTGGCGAGGCGTTCCAGTGTTACGCGTTCCGTGACCAATATCATCTAAAACTAATTGGGATATTAGCAACCAACTCCCACAACTACCTACCTACCTGTAAAATCAATTGGTTTGCGCACATACTTGATTGGCTTTTCTGGATTGGCTGGTGCAATTATTTTGTACTGACGAGTAGTAGACTTATTAGCAGTAAGCACACCGATTTCACGCCTCGCCACCTTCTCCTTGTGAATCATAACAGTTTGCGAGATGTGATTCATTTGGCTCTCCATCTCGGCTAACTGTGCAGACTGTAGCTCTAAAAGCTGAAGGAAATTGTACGCCAACGTGTTGATCTGATATGCCACACTGGCAAGAGACTGGGTGGTGTAATTTTTCGTCTCTTCAAGAGCGACACGCTTATTTTCCGACTGAAAGTAATTGGCTTCACAATATTCCGCAACCCTTTCCAAGTTTCCATGATTATCGGTTAGGTTGCTACGCCCTTCTGGTATTTCGGAACATAAAAGTGCAGCTAATTCCGCCATCGTATCACAATCACTAACAACGCCCGATTCTCGACTAGGACTTCCTAATAAATGAGATAAACGATAATTCATAATCAAATTAAGAAATGAAATTTGTAGAGACTAACCGTGGGCGTAATATCCTATATTCATTACAGATTTCTTTGTTGAAACTTAAACATTTCCCTTATTTACACTTTGTTTTAATTAATGGAACTAGGTAATTATAGCATTAAAATTAAAATCTTAATTAATCCTAGACTACCTTTTTAATGACTTATGACTACCAAATGACAAATGTCAACAAAATCGGATGGATTAGTAGTCCCAAAGCCTAGTGCGCATGCGATAGTATACGATACATTTGAACTACTTATCAAAAAGTCTCGGTTACCATTTCTTAAACAATTATCATTTCTTAAACAATTATCATTTCTTAAACGTCATGTTGCGGTTTTATTACCAAATCTGTTCAGTGGCCTTTAAAATGATCTAAAGCACTCTATTTTGACCAAATCGCTTACAACATTGTACATTACTTTAATAAGTTTTGTTTTGGTTGTGTCTTGCTAAACTTGGGGGGCCAAAATTATCCAATGAGAATCTGTAATACTTTCATATGAGGACCATAAAATTCGATTGCAAAGAACTCTTTTGTTAGTATTTCACTAATCCCATTGAATTTTCATTTTCAAATTTCTATAACTCCGCAAATAACGGTCGTTATATAAATGGTTTGGGCTTAAGTATTTTATAGGGAGAGAAAGTCCTGTTTATTACTAATACTACTTCGGACTGTCGGGACTACCTGCAGTTTTATTTTTTCTTTTTTGGTGAAAGCTATCTACATTTGTATGCCCTTGTATCTCCGCTAGATTCCAGAGCCAAACAATAATAAAGCTTACTGGGAATAATGTACGATGGTCCCAAATCGCTGTTCAGAACACATGATTCTGTATTAACAATTCAAAATTTCGCTTACAAAAAGAACCATCTAATTGACACTATTTCATCCATCGTGGAACGGTGGGACAGATGCGCTTTTGCGGCGACTTTCTCTGTCCATTTCTCCGTTCTACACTACTTATTACTACTGCTTTCAATTACCTCGTTTATGCTTACGCTTTAGCATCCTAGGCCGAGAAAATTCTAAGAAGCGCCTTTAAGAGCAAGTGAGAGTATTTGAAAAGTTTCTACTCTTCAAGAACCTATACGAACTGATGATTGACGTTGACAACATGTGCGTTTATGTGCTTTATAGTCTTCTAGAGCCTCCAATAGCATGTAGAATCTTTAAGTATATTCAAGAATCTTCAAATAATTTTTTAAAGAACTTTCCGCAGCCTTTTAGTGTTGTTTAGCGCCTTTGAAACTCTTAATAGTTACTAATAATATTTTATGAGCTATGAGAACTGCAAAGATCTTAAAAAGTCACCACCACACCAAAGGTCCATTGTGCCTACCCCTTTCTTTCGCAACTAGGCTCACAGCCCGTTCTTCTCAATGAAGGATGGGACCCTGTTTAGCCCACTAAGTTGCCCTTCCGGTTTCAGGCAACTGTCGCCAAAAATCGTCACAGTAAAAGACCACATGCTCATCTGCCTTGCCAATAGAACCTGCATTTGGACTCTCCTACAAGCCCGATGTTGTGCAGGTAATAGTTGACCATCCAGTGCCTCCTAATCTGGCCTGTATTCAGTTTTAGAAACTTAAAAGGACCAGATTTAACAAGGGGCCCTACTAAGAAGGCAGTCCGGAGCACATCCCTTTTGGCGAGGAGGGGATCATTATCCTTTGTCGCGGCCACACTTTGATTTGACTTGCGAACAGAAACTGCAACATATTTTTGCAATTTAAGCACGTGATGCGGATGCTGACTTTCCAGTCAACAATAAACATTTTCTATCCATGTAATAAAAATGTCCGTTTTACTTTTTCTCATACTAGATCATTTGGAGTAATTTTGTTGCTTCACTCCCCATCCAACAGTTTTGCTTTCACTAATGATAAAGCTTTCTATAAGTAAATACAGATGAATTAACTTGTTAAATTGTATAAAATGAAGGAAATTGTGCTTTCTTTCAATTTTATTACTAGTAAGTTTATTGCTTGGCTGGTTATGTCTTTCAATCAAAAAGTTAACGTGCATTCAATTTATTGTATCAATGACGGCTTACATTTTTGTTTCTGTTTACTGTATTTTCCAACGCCCTTCCAAACGTAAGTTTTTCTTCTGCAATTGCTGAAGATATTGTTGTGTTACAATCTAAATATTTAAATATTTGTCTATTTAACCTATGATCTTCATAAACAATCAAGTACTTTCTTATCTCTCTCATACTACAATGTAAATATTCAAAAATACATGAGTAGTCGAATATTATATTATATTCACAGTTTTCTTCGATAACAATTTTCCAGGATACAATTAAGTATGACCGTATTTTAATATTGCAAGTAAGTCTTTTGTCAACAAACATTCAGCAGTTTTAGTTTTAGTATTTTCTTTTTCACACTTTAGTGCACTTTTTTTCTGAAATTTCGTGCATTACCTTTACCTTTGCTTTCATAAGCTCGATCCATCTATTATAAGTGATCAGAGGCGGGACATTATTTTTCGTATCTTTGCGTAGCCAGGGGGATTTTCAACCTCGTCAAGTAGTAACATAGATTGTATACCGGGGTTTTTGATTTTTTTAAATTTCAGCAAAAACTTCTTTAAACGTTTGAAGTGAATCCGTTAAAAAATGAAGTTAAGTCCAATAACCTTTTACCTGACCCCGCATCCTATAAAAACTGAGTGTACTTAACTAAAGTTGGCACCCGCGTTCTTAGGCGAAAGTTCAACACCTAAAAAGCTTTTGAAAATGCTTATTTATTAATTTATTAAATCAATTATTTTACCAAATTATGCAAATGTACATTCCAAGCAAAACAAATTTCTACTGCGGGGAGTATCATGGCAAATCATTCTTATTTCGTTCGCCCTGGTCTGTAGATTTATTCGCCCGCTCTTAATAATCAATCTGGATATGTCCCTGATCGACTGCCTTTAGAATATCAACAACAGCCACACAGAAGGTCTTTCCTTTTTCCAAATATCTTTCGCGGATCGTTTTCACCATTCCTATTGCATCTTTCGTGTTCATTTTTGTTCTAAAACCAAACTGTTCTTGTCCTATATTTTCCTCCATTACTTTGTTAAGCCTTCTATTCAATATTTTCAATAAGATCTTTGCTGTGTGTGTCACTATAGGTCGATTGTTCTATACTTATAGCATTCTGTGTACCTTGCTACCATTTCTGAACATGGCCATAGTCTACTTTCGCAGGGAGGTAATTTCTTTGATTCCTTTCTCGTGTAAGTTTTCTGCACAATCTTTTTACTTCGTCTGTCTTTAAATGTTTAGCTTTCCTAACTTTCCTCCATTTTATGTTTATCATTTCTGTTGTTATCCAAGGTTCTATTCTAGACCCCTTGCTGAAACCAATGCACTCTTTGCCAATTTTTATTACTTCCTTTATCCTCGCCACACTTTCTACCGTCCATGGTGTTCTGTCTTACGCTTGTATTTCTCTTTCCATTACATTCTTGCCCTAATCTTCCAACTGTAGATACTAGATAATCGTCTAAATCTGCAACTAAGAGAATGTGGTTGCTAAATATCAGCTCCTTGTAGCCCACAAACTTTTTTGACTCCGTTCTGCTTTCTATCAATATATATAACTTATCTGTTTCCTAAATAGGTCTTTCCTGGTGCTTTCCTTCTTTTATGGTTCTCACACCATGTGTTCGTAACAATCACATTATTTTCTTTGTATTTTTCACCCACTCCCGTAATCTCCTCCTTTCCCACACTGGCAATCCAATCACTCCAGATTCCAATCTCCCATCACAATCTTTCAGCAGCCATGGCCTTCCTTATTCCTCTAATTCTTTCGCGACACATTCAAATCACACTTTGCACTCGAACGAAATCTGAAATTCCTATACTCCAGTTTTTGGAAGCGATGTTCACATATTCCTTTGGCAACCACTTAAATAATATATAGTGAGTGGCGGAGCAATTAATTCTGTTGAATTACCGGTGATTACATTTTCTTCCAGGTATTTTATTCACAAATGTTGTACGGGGAAGTTACGTACATTCTTCCATAATTCTCCGAACAGAATAGGTAGGTACAGCAATCTTTCCTTATTTATAAGGAAACTCTTACAAGCTCCTTCTAGCACCCAGTTCACTAATTTTGCTTTAGTTTCCGAACACAGTCAGGCCCGTTTCATCTACAATCATCTGCCGTTTTCCATTGCGACCTATTCCTTCCGGACGTTTGTGGGACATTAAAACGTTTGCAAGCATCCAAAAACATTCCTTCTTCTCTTTTTGCCTTCAGTCCTTTCTGCATCAAAGCTCTTAGTGAAATAATTTACGTGCAGTCATGAGTCCTCGAAAAAAATTCTTTTCTGCCTATCTCTATCACTTTCCAATATGAGGCCTCTACTATGTGAATATTGATACTGTATAATACGTTACTGCCTTATTGGTTGTTTCAAACTTAATCTTAAGATATTTGAACATCAATCGTTACATGGCGCTGCATCTGATACAATGAGTATATTTGCCCTCCATATATTTGAAGATATATTGTACCTGCGTATAAAATATCTTTCATATTGAAAGCTTACGTACATACATCTATAATAAACAATGTTAAATTGTTAACAAACAAATGATAGGCAGTATAATGAATACCTATAATATATTAATATTGTTACTAACTTGTAAAAGAAACGTATGTGCTATTTAGAACTAATATAATTTCTAGAGATCAGAGGCCCAATAAAATTTAACATTTTCAGCAGACCTTCGGAGCACAATATTTAGTTGCAATGGGGGTGGTGCCCTCTCTAGACGTATTTCGAAGCGAAAAACAGGGATTGTCATAGTTCCTTCTTCCTGTTATTCGACCCATTATCCTTTAAAGCCAATCGCTTCGTAGCACCTCGCGAATATCCGCTACACCCGCGTGTTCGTGCCAAACAAGGTGCAACAAGAAGAATATACACAGTCGTATTCGACGTCTTGCGTCGTATACGTTACGTACGCAAACGTAGTATGTTCGTTAAACTTACTTTTATTGTTATAATTGTCGAAACCGCGCAAACCTGTGTTTAAAATGAGTTGATTCATACAATCAGATTATGTTTTTATTGACAATTACTAGTTTGTGTTTAAGTTTACGATGTTTAGGACGTGTGTTGTGCTGGTTATCGTCTTCGTGATACATCTTAGTGCATCACCTTTAGATCCTCTCCATTACACAAAAGGTAATTCGTCTTACGTTACGTAAATTTAAATATTACACTGCGATTATAAAAACAGAAAAAGGTGAAAGGTGTGATTAATTATTTAAACGTGTGCGACAGAAAGCAGAACTTGTTTTCCCTCTGTGAGGTCACAACGGTTGAGGCATTCCGAAAAAAAAACGTCATTCTTCTCCCCCTTTTACTAATAGGCGCACGTGTGTAGGCGGAACCAGGTACCATACAATGGGATTCTTCCAGATCTTTGAAGTAATCCTTGAATTAACATTTACGTTTACCTCGCTCATGAGCGTTTCCTAATGTCTGTGGTAAACGTCTTGAAACAAGAAAAATATTAAATTTTATCCAGGTATTGTTAGTCACCGATTGGTAAAAAGGGACCTTTTAAGTTTATAACTGTAATTTGTTTATGATTGCAACACTTTAACGCTTACTGGTGTCGGATTCAGGTTAGGTGTTCGTCAAGGTTATTTATTTCAAATGATTGTTGTCATCATCATTAAGAAACGAAATTTTCGTTTAGCTTCGACCTTCTTATCTAATTGGCTTATATACCGGATCACATAATATTGTCATTACTCTGTCGAATTTCTTCTTTACGTTTAGGTAATGTATCGGAAAGCAATCATCTTTAAATTTCCACATTTCTTGTACTGTATATCAATTCATATTTAATCTGGTTCATTTTTTTTCAACCTCAAAAAGTTGCTTATTTAGCTTTGATATTGTATTCTTCAAAACATTGCTCCATACTACGATGCTGAAATCATTTTAAAATGGAACTGGATGCAGGCAATCTACAGCTTAACCAAAAGCACCCTTCGTGCGAAAGGGTCATCAAACTTTGAAACCAATGGAAGATGTCTGAACTGGCACTCAAGGGATTGTTCAGGTACATGAATGTCACATTGCAAGGCCACACAGCGTATTAAATAACTTCATACATCTCAGAATAGGAAAGAGCACAAAGAGTTAATAGACATGTTAGCTGATTATCATCTGTGCAACAAGTTTTGAAAATTGTACATCGGCAGTTCTGACCCGTGTCCCTTTACAGAGCATTTGGAAGAAGAAAGATTTAATGTTTTCATTATATCTTGTTTTGTCAAGAGCGTTCATAGACAAAGCACAGTAAATTTTGGCCTATACATAATACGAAAAATGTACAGACAGGAGACTTCTAATAAATCTTGGACTGTAGAATCTAAAAAATGTATAGTCATCAAGGTTGAGTATGTACTTGACAGAACTTCAGATCGATAAAAGACGAAACATCGATCATAAAGACAGACAGCAGTACAATTCCGGCATACCTTGCTCATATGGATATTGGACAACAGGATTTTTAGAACATCAAGGAAATCTCGTTTGGGAAGTACTTAAAGGTTGAGATTGAGAAACATCCATTGAACATGAATAAGGAAAGGAAGGCGATTTTGATTTAGCCTCCTATTTAGCAGAACATGTATCGCTGTGATCCATAAGCTGAGGCCCTGGGAAAGAGTGAAAGTTCAAGATCACAGACCTCCTATGATCCTTTTCATTGACGTCAATCGATAGGAGCCTCACAATCCTATAAAACGTTGTTTTGGATCACAAAGCTATAATAGGCGTGGTAACCCGAAAGATGTTGGGGTGAAGCACCTATGACGACGTGGTATAAGCTGAACATTAGATGGGTATTTTGACAGTTCGAGGAACAGCGCCGAGGGCCTCAAAGTTTTTATTAAACGGAATTGAAAACTGAATACGTCATCTGACAAAAAGCGCTCGAAAATCCATTCGAAAGATTGAAGAAAGGTTTGCCAATTCCTGAGAAGATACCTCGGAAGATACTATGAAACATTAGTAGGTACTTAAGACTTGTATAGTACCCAAGCTATAGAAACCATAACTAAGAACATTCTCTAGCTAGACTACAAGGTTTGCAGATTTAACCTCGGATTTAATTAAATGGTTACCCAGAAGATCTTTAGGAAAATACCTCGGAAAATACTTCACATACAAATATTTCCAAGAAAGATTACTAAGGTTCCTGAGACTCAAATAATATTTTTCAAACACTAACCAAAGAGCAGCAAATTTCAACGTCAGTTTGCAATAATGAAAATTATAATACGAATAAATGAAAACTAAGTATCACCGACTATCACTGTCGGCGAAGACATTCATTTTCCACAAAAACCAGAGAGGTCTTTTCAAATTTGAAATTCGAAGAGCAATTATTGGACTGAATCAGAGCCTATTGTAACTACTAAACTCTGACTGAATGATTCAGAAAATGGTGGAATCGAGGGTGGAATTCTTCATGAAGAATTTAATTTACATCGACTTTTTGTTGAAGCGTAAACTGAAACTTGACATATGCGCATTCTTTAGAGTTTAGTCGATGTCCTCGAAGATTGTTTTACTAACAATTTTCTTGATACGCATCGCAATCGCCGGATTGTGGTCGCAATCGCAGCAATCGTAGGGAAATCATGGGGATTGTCGCAATACTGTCACAAAATTTGAGAAGATGTTACCCCCTCGGTTATTTCCTTCCCCAGTTATTACTGATTCTGTGCGGGGAAAATGCTCTTTCATCGGTCATTGATACTAGTTTTAAGTATTTCTGCAACTCAGTTGGAAAACATAATGTTTGCAAAGATCCTTGGCATCAGACATCTTACAATTGTTACTACAAATCTTGCAAATCTGCCTCGAAATCTGCTTAGAAATCTTTGAACTAAACTTCCTCTTTACTTCCTAGAAACCACTAAATTCGACCGAGAAATTTAGACGTTTTCCGAAATATTAATCCTTTTTTTAAACATTCGTCCTAGAAATCTCAGCCAGTTTGAAAAATCTTCGGAAAAATCTTTATCAAAAGATCTTCTTAGTCTTCTTACCAATTTTCATAGAAAATTCTCTCGAAAATCTACATAAGATTGCTACTTGGAGATCGAGTCCGAAATCGCTTCAAAGTTCTCTTTTAGATTTTCTTTCGAGTTAAATTCTCGGTTAAATTTTACCTACTGGCGATTTTCTTACAAACCTCATTACAAACGTTCTTTGGATCCAGATAACCTGCAATCCTTTTGGACATATTCTTAAAAATATATCCGCAAAACTCATCGAGAAACTCGGAGAAACTTTTCAGAGAGTCAACTTTGAAATCTGAATAGGTTTGTTTATGACTCGGTTTATGAATTTCTTCTAACCATGATATTCCTAATAATTTCACTTTAATTCCTCTTCAAAGTCTTGATATATAATTTCACGTTATAAAAAAGCGACATCGCAATGTAAATGTTTCCTAGGAATAATTTCTACAAATTTTCTTAAACAGTTTACCTTTTACTGTATCTCGAGCTGTATCTACTACTTATCAAGGAGGATAGTCTTTGCTACGATTGTCGGATTTTAGAGGATTGCATTGTGATTGCATGTGATTATGAATGATTGCAGACGATTGTAAATGATTGCAGGTGATTGTGGGTGACTGACGAAGATTTCTGGTAGCTGCTCAAGTTGCTATACACTCAAATCATACATACCGAAAGACAAACTAAGTGGCATGTGCTCTTTTTGGGCCATTGTTAAAAAATGGCACAATCAAAATTTGAAAACATTCACTCGCTTACAGAGATACAAGGGAAAATCAAAAATTGTCAATATCAGAATGAAAAGAGACACTAAAAAATGTTTATTACAAAATTACTTGCTGGGTAATCCGTCGTTTTCAAAATAGGTTACATATACGATGTCCGCAAAAAAGTTACTGGACTTAACCTCATTTTTTAAATAGAACACCCTGTATGTTTTAATCTAAAAAGATAGCGTATTAACATTTTCTTTTTTAATATATAACGCAATCGCAATAGATAAGGAAAACAAAAAATTCAAAATTATTAAAAAAGAATTAAAACATTTTTAAGGAAGGTTCAAATATTAAAAAACAAGAAAAAATTAAACATTTTGAAATTTTTTGAAAAATCTAATATTGCACTTTTTAAATTTCTTTAGTGTTATATTTCTAGAAAGTGAATTCCAGAGCATTCCACTAAAAAAAATGACGTTAGGTCTGGGGTTAGGTTCTATAACTTTTTTACCTGATCCCGTACACTTATTTTAAAACGGCACATTCAGTCTTATAAAGAAACTTGTAAGAAAAATCTTTCTATGTCTCCTTTAATAAATAATGGTTCATGCTGAGATTTACAATTTTTTGAATTTCCTACGTCCATTTTTAAATTGAAATATTTTAAACAAAAACTAACATATTAAGAATCTCTTTTCCAAAATATAACACTACAAAAATTCCATATTGATTTCAATAGATTCAAAAGATTTAAAAAACCGAAAGATTCAACCATTTTTTGAAATTTTGTTGTATTTATCAAATCGTTTGACCTTTTTTTAATCTTTTTTGAGCCCTTTTTGAATCATGCTTAGTGTATTATATTTTTTAAAAGTTAAAATGCTATATTTGTAGATTATCAAGCGGCAGAGGAAAGCGATGTAAGCTTTATAAGGAAGTTGATGGTGTCCGCCTGTCCGTCCGTGAACACCATAACTGCCAAACACCAAACTTTGCACAGTTAACATACCTATATATACCACATGTAACAAGGCAATTGAAAATGAGTCAAATCCAATGATACGTAGGGTTACTCCGAGGTGCTGTGCCGCTTTTTTAGATCCGCTTTAGGGCTTTATTAAGTAGTACAGGGCTTTCCATTTAAGAAAATAAAGTTTGGTGCAATAACTTTTTTGCCTAACCCCGCGTAGCGGTGAGGGACGATTGCCAATGTGATTGTCAGATTGTCACAACGATTGCGGGATTGCTTTAGGCGATTGTGAGATTGCAAACGCGATTGTGGGACTGTGAGGGAGATTTCCACAGCAATCAGAGGGATTGCAAGCGATTGCAGACAATTTGTGACAGTATTGCGGGAAGATGTTACCCCCTCGGAAATAACTAATCCAAAAAATCTTTTGTCGTTCTGGTCTCTGGGCTG